CACTGATGTCCACTAGCAAAGGGAAAAGGTATGAGGTGGAGAGCACGTTGATGCGAGAAGGAATTTATACAACAAGCAAATGATCATGCTGTTTGTATGTGGCTGCTATGAAAGTGAACTGTGTTTGCGTGGGATCGGAGTGTATTCATTCCGCCGATTCTACTGAAAAACATTTCTTAAATGGAAGCAAACAGAACAAAATGGGGATAAACATACCTGAATTTGTCCAATCGAAACTTGTTTGCAACTGTTGGACTAATGATTACACCCTAGATCAGCTAGATGCAGGCAAGAGAGTGCAAGGCGGTATTGAATGTGTCACTGTCTATCACTGAATTTTTCTCTGGACCTGTGCACCTATGTTGTAAACTTTCATTCATAGGCTAGGTTGTAGCAACCTCATGATGGGTATAGGGAAAATTAGAGTATCATGTAGTAGCCTAAACCTATTGATGTTACATTGAGCTGGGTGAATGGAATATGAATGACAGTCATCCAATATGCTGTAATAGAAATTAGGCCAAATTCATACATGTTTTCTTGTCCTCATCTTAAACATCACTGATGGCCACTGTTTTACAAGAATGGTTCATGAGTAGGACCTTGAATTTTCAACCTGGACTCAGGGGTAAACGTAAGATAGTAAATGACAATCCGGGACACTCAAATTATTATATGTTACATTTGGTAAGGTATGTATTCATTTGTGGATGTCCATCCATTTGTATGATATGTTATGAATTACATTTCGTATATGTTACGAATTACAATTCATATGAAACAGTATGATACAAATTATAATTTGTTGTGGCTAAAATTAGCTAGGTGGCTTACATTAGCTAGGTGGCTAACGTTAGCTAGGCTAGGGGTTAGGGTTAAGTTTAGGGTTAAAGTTAAGGTTAGGAGTTAGGTTAAAGGTTAGGGGAAGGGTTAGCTAAGTAGTTGCAAAGTTGCTAATTAGCTAAAATGCTAAAGTGCATAATAGCGTTATACGCACCCATCCCCTCAACCAACCACCCTCCTTTTGTTTTTGCCATAAGTAACCTTCTGTCTTATGTAACCTTACCAAACATAACATATCATACTAATTTGAGTGTCCCAGATGTTCGTTTACTATGTTACGTCTAGTCTATGAGACCAGCATGTTCTTCCTGACCAATTGACATGACCAAAACAACTTACATTTACGCTCTTATCCAGAGCGACTTACAGTTAGTGAATGCATACATGTTTTTTGATACTGGCCCCCCGTGGGAAACAAACCCACATTCCTGCCGGCCAAACCCTCCCCTACCTTGGACCAATTGTGCGCCGCCCATGGGTCTCCCGGTCGCGGCCGGCTGCGACAGAGCCTGGACTCGAACCAGGATCTCTAGTGGCACAGCTAGCACTGCGATGCAGTGCCTTAGACCACTGCGCCACTCAGTTCCTACTTATAGCCTTCGACTTGGGGCCAGAGTTTTGCCTGTTCAAGTTATGTGGTCAGCAAAGACTCTAGGTCCTATTCATCATAAGTTGCCTGGCCAGACAGTGATGTCACACTGTGGCAGACAAACGGTGACTTCCTCATCACCAAGGCCCATTCATTAGTAGGCCTGCGGCACTGCAACTAAAACAACCCCAGGAAGTCTCTCCTGGAGAGATAGAGAGACTGGGGAAATATAGGAAAAGCAAAAGAAAGCGAGAGCAGGGACATTGTCTGGGGTGCGTATAATGTGGCTAGGTGTTGGACTGCAAGAAATGTAGGCTCCATAGAGAGGGGAAGAGAGATGGATGGATAAGAGAGTGAGATTAAGAAAATAGTGAGTTTTCATCTGTTCATCAATTTGGAAAGAGAGATGAGAGCTGGATGATGAAAGAGGGGCTGGGAGAGGAGGAGGTTATTGAGCGGAGTGGTCTTTGTTAGGGCTTGTGAAAAAAGTGAGTCATTTAGCCAAAACAGGGAGAGAGAGAGAGAGAGAGGGGGGGGGGGGGGGGGGGGGAGAAGGAGAGGCAGGGAAAGAGGGAGTTGTGGAGAGGGAGTTGTGGGGAGGAATATGCTGAGGTTGTTTTTTTTTCATACTGCAGAATCAGCTGGGAAAAGAGTATGTGCACACACACACACACACACACACAAATCCACGCACGCACACGTCTGACAAGTTAGCAGGGCATGGAGGTAGACTCTTGCACATAAAACATGTACTGTGCATTTACAGATAGAATAGCAAGATACAGTCAAATACTCAGCATACACAATGGAAATACCCCCTCCAAGCGCCATCCTGTTGTCCTGCTGTGTGTCTGGCAGTTCAGATGCAGTTGGAATTCCAGATGTTGTTCATGGAATTCTGCTCCATCTCTGGCTTCCAAATGTGATTTAACCCTCCCTCTCCCTCCCCATCCCAACCAAGTGAGCCTCATGCCTCTCTCTCCCCTGTTCAAAACTCAACTCCACAACATACTGTCTCCAGCAGATGGAAAGGCTGGTCGACCTAAATAATTTTAACACAATAGGAAAATACAGTACCTCATCAACGTAATTGCATGAACGCCATGCTTTAATCATAACATATAATCTGTTAACTAAAGTAATTTCCCCTCTCTCTTTCTACCCTCTCCCATGCACAAATCAGTTGTTTGTCAAAGGCTCATTAGCTGTTAGGAGACGCCTTAGCCTGTTGCTTCAAGATTTGATTGCTTGCTTTATTTGCTCATATAACACACACACACACACACACACACACACACACACAACCTCCCAATAGCCAATATATATTCTCCTACCATGAATGCCATAGGGTTTACACAATCCTCTTCATTCCTGGTTTTGCTTAATCCTTGGACACTTCCTTTATTTTCCGACCTAGTTTTAGGCCTGCCAGTTTCCAAGCACCAGTAAGAGAGTGGAGCTTTTGGGGAGCAAGAACCCTGGAGGTAAAGGAAGAGTGAGTATGGGACCAGTTGCCGTCTGATGGTAAGGTGGAGCAATATGGAGAGTAGGTAAGAGGTAAGGGTGAATGATTACAATACCAGGGTGATATTGAGCTTCAGTTAGGATTTTACTTGTGTATGTTGTTTACGAAGTCATTTGTTAAGGAGTGTGTGAGTGTATGTGCCTGTGACTAACCACTTAGTGCTGAAACAAAAATAAAGAGCACATATAGCTATGCATTTTAAAAAAACATTTTATTTTAATGAAAAGTATAAAAGTGAAAAAGACAGGCACAATCTTATTCAAATACTTTAGATACAGTAGTTATCATTATTATTATAAAAATGAATATCATTGTTATTGTTCTAACTACTAGTAAACCCTTGCATCCCTGAAAAATAAAAATAAAACAGCACCATGATTTGAGAACTGTAAACAAGTGCAATGACAAAAAGGAGTCATTTTTATATCTTCCATTTATTGCATTGAGATGGAAAAACAATCAAGTTTCACAAAATAATATCCCCATCCCAATAATATCCCCAAAATCAAATATAAATTTAAGGCCACTTTCAAAATGTAGTTCCCTGTCCAGCAGGACATTTAATGACAATGTACAAAAACACATTCTATACATGGTGAACAACAATAACAATAGTACTAGACATAATAATAATGACAACATCATTGATAATAATAATCAAAATAATAATAATTAAAACACCGCATGACATTAAAGAATATTAAGGACAGACAAATTGCTCAGCTTTCAAATTGGTGTTAGGGACACAGTAAGTATATCATTTCCCTTTAATGCTCAACACTGGCAATACATTTCCATTTTATGTTCAAGTTGAAATATCAAATGGATGAATGGGGGCACACAGTCACTGTAGCACTGTGTGTTTCATTGACTGTAGACCCTTATCGGATATACACTGAGTTTGCAAAACATTAAGGACACCTGCTCTTTCCATGACATAGACTGACCAGGTGAAAGCTATGATTCCTTTTTGATATCACTTGTTAAATCCACTTCAGTCCGTATATATGAAGGAGAGGAGACAGGATAAAGAATGATTTTAAAGCCTTGAGACAATTAAAGATTGTGTAGGTGTGCCATTCAGAGAATGAATGGGCAAGACAAAATATTTAAGTGCCTTTGAACAAGGTATGGAAGTAGGTGCCAGGCGCACCGGTTTGTGTCAACAACTTCAACGCTGCTGGGTTTTTCACGCTCAACAGTTTCCTGTGGGTATCAAGAATACCCAAATGACATCCAGCCAACATCGCACAACTGTGGGAAGCATTGGCGTCAACATGGGCCAGCATCCCTGTGGAACGCTTTCGAAACCTTGTAGAGTCTATTCTCCGACGAATTGAGGCTGTTCTGAGGGCAAAATCGGGGGGGGGGGGGGGGGGCAACTTAATATTAGGAAGGTGTTCCTAATGTTTGGTATACTCAGTGTATATCCCCTCTCTCTTCAGACCATTCATAGTTCATGTGATATAACTGAGATACTGTCTATGAGGCAACACTTAACGGGTGAAAGGCTTTGACAGAATCTAGCATCATCTGCTAACATGGAGCAGAACATCACATGATGCTGGTTGTATTCTTTACCACAATAGGTGGTGGAATGGATGGATGGAGGCACTGAACATAATCATGTTCAAATAAAGCTGAAATTCACCAGGACACAAACACTGACGACAACAACTAAAAAATGAAATTAAAAAAGGCTAAACAAACAGCGATGAGCTGGCGTCAACAAACACAACTAGAGAAAGGAGGGAAGAGAAGAGGGGACAGAAATAGAGGACTAGAGTGGGAGTGAAAGAGCAAAAGGAATCTCTTCCATATTTAAGTTGGCACCGGTAGGAATATCTAAGCTATAGCTAACAAGTATATCTTGCTCTGGCTAACCTTCGCTCATAGTCTACAGATCCCTTTAGTTCTCTCATTTTTCTCCCTCATCTCCACTAGCAAGTCCCTCTGTTCACTCTCTTCTCTTCTATTCAGTCCCTCTCAACTCCTCAACCTCCTATCTTTCCTTCTCTCTCCCTCTCCTCCCTCTCCTCCCCTCTACACCTTGTCCAGTAGTGAGCGTTGGCAGTAGAGGAGACGGCGTGGGGTGCCGTACCTGCGGAAGAACAGCAGTGCCCCCAGAGTGAGGATCACACACGCCAGCAGCATGAGGGGCACCACCACCGCCGCCACGCCCGCCCCTACGCCAGATCCTCCCTCCTCCTCGATGATGATCACCTCCGTCTCATCTCTATCCTCCTCTCTGTCTTCCCGGTCGTGTCCTCCACCCCCTCTCCCTCCGTCGGTCTTGGGGTCCTCCTCTGGACAGCCCATCCAGTCCTTAAGAGCAGACTTGGGGTATCCAGGCTCAACACGCAACTTCTGGTTGTTGAACTTCCAATACTTATTGGCTTTGTAGAAGTAGGTGTGTCCTGAGAGACAAATACAGTGTGGAGATAAAGATGAAAAAAAGAAATCCAAGAAATGTTTTCTCTAGATTAAAACAGAAAAAAGACCCAGTGCACGCACACAAAAATACACAGGATGGTTACCTTGGTCTATGCTCATGATGCCAGCTTTAATATTGTCTGGGACGCCCTGCCACACACTGATGGGTTTGGGGTATTCAGGGTCCACAGAGCGTGAGTCCTCATTGTATCGATAGTACCTAACATGGGGAGAGACAGACATGTTTCAGTTCTCCTTCTCAAATGTCAGAGGCCTATAAGCCCTCTTACCAGCAAAAGTGGCGGCACTTATTTGGGAAATTTGCAATAATCTTTTGGCCAAATAGAGCAATTCATGACAGATACATTTTATGTTTTCAACGTTCTTTAGTCTAGTGTACGCTCCACTCCACTGTCATGTAATGTTGTTGTTAACAAAGACACAGAGACACGCAGATGCAAAAAGACTGACTTGTGTCCTCTGAAGAAGTATGTCTTGCCGGTTGGGGTGTAGAAGAGAGCGGTGTCTATTTTGTCTTTGGGTAGACCACTGCCCATCTCCTTCAGAGGCTTGGGATAGCCATCCTCCAGAAGAGACTCCTTGAAAACCCAGTGCCTGTCTCCTACACAGACAGAGAGAATCTGAATGAGTGGTTTTCCTCAGTATTGATATCTAATTTAATGGGAATAGTAGGATACGTAAATATTGTGAGGGAGCCTTAACAGAGGATGCAATGTTATCAGAGTAAAGTCAAACTTACCTTTGAAAAATATGAAGTTGCCATCATCCCTTTCATAAGCAGCATTGATGTTTGATGGCAGGCCCCTCCAGAAATGACCTATTGGCATTGGGTATCCATCCAGAACCGCGTTATTACGGACTCTCCAGAACCACTTATCCTGAAGGAGAGAGAGAAAGACAGGGTTAATACCTCTACAAACTAAATATACATGTATATACACACAATGACAAAGCTGATTTCAGCTGTACAAATCTGTAATTAAGTACCTTGAACACAAACATTTCTCCTCGGAGGATGGCGATGGTGTCAAAGTGTCCCTCACAGATGTCAGGACCAAAGCGAGGGTTGTATGGGGTGTGAGTGGGTTTGGGTGGGTGGTGAGGGGAGCGTGGGGTAGGTGGAGGAAGGCGGGGGCCACCACCTGATCTACCCCCTGCAGGGTACCGGGAGAGAGAAATAAATGGTCAATGTAATCCTCTACTTCTATCATTACATAGGCCCTTTTTTTTGGTGATCTGACAAAAATTAACTCTGGGTCCTAGTTATAGCCTAGATACAGTAGAACAACTAACAGTAATGATAATGCATTTTCTCTTAGCCTTTTCTCACCATAGATTTGTTGTATCCCCCTGAGGTCATCTTCAGGCAGCTGGAAGTTCTCGGTGTCCATCCACTGGTAGAATGGAGCCATGATGGCAGAGGGGTCGTTGGAGTGCTCCAGACCAAGAGCATGACCCAACTCATGTACCGACACCAGGAACACGTCATTGCCTAACACCAACTGAACCATGTCATTATCATAACATAGTATCTGAGAAAGAAGGTACCATGTCATCACCATCACATTAAATTGTCCCATGAAATTCAATCTTGTATAACAATGGCTTAAGTGTGCATGTAGAGCAAAAGCACTATTCAAATTTAACTGACTGGAAACATCTAAAGTATTGACACCCTATTCCTATGGTTTTACATAGCAGGCCTCTCACCATCAAAACAAAAAACAAAAAAAATCTGTAGATCATTCATTTTCTCCACACAAACACTCCCTGGAGATAAGTTCAAAACACAAACACGTTGGGGCCTGCTGATTGGGTTTTTGTGGCCTGCTGCTCACAACTGCCCAGGGAGCATGGTAACTCCCAACAGGTTAAACCTGTTTTCCTGACATCGGGAATCACGCTGTGAATTTCCCGTCATAACATTCCTCTTCCAAACACTCAAGGTCACTCACCTGACAGATCACTGTTGCCGACCGTCCAGGGCTCTGCAGAGTCAAAGTGAGTGTCTCCCCCTATGCCGTTCCCGGGGAAGTAGGCGTGTGCCAAGAAGCCCCCCTCGCCATCGAAGGGACTGGCGTCGCCATGGAAACCCTCACCAAAGAAGAGCATGATGTCTGCCATGTCCACCACCTTGTCCCGTATGTGACTGTAGGGGATCTCCCTGAAGCGTAGAGGGGTCACACTCTCCCACACCTTGAAGGCCTTCCTGATAGCCTCATAGGTCTCATACTCCCCCACCTTAGGGGTGTAGTTCTGTATACTGAGAGAGGGAGAGAGAAGGCACCGTTAGAGAGAGACGAGAACAGTTTGTGGAGGGAGGAAGGAGGAGACAGAGGGGGAATAAGAGTGAAAACGGTGATACACTTTACTGGCATATTAAGTCACTGGGGAATTTCTGAAAATCTGGTTGAGGTGAGGACAATTTACAGTATGACTTGACATGACTTCACCATATGGGTTGTGGGTGTTATTTTAATTTTTACCCTACACATGCACTTAGAGTTGGAGGGCTAACCTACCAGTAGGTGAGATCGGTCTTGTCCCATTTCAGGCCCTGGATAGCATAGCGCTTCTTTCTCAGGTTGCTCTTCAGCACAGTGCCAAACTTGTCTGGAACTCCACAGCGAGGCCGCTTCATCGCCCTGGCAAAAACAATTCAGGGACCGGTCACACAATGCCCAGTATAATCTCTATCTTGGAAACAGGTCTTTGATTACTTTAACTTTGAATCAGTGATTTCACACAGGTAAGACCATGCGTTTTCCTTGCCACATGACCTGACCAGAAAAAACTCATACAAATAGGGTAATATGGTACTGAACCTGCAACAGTTGTTTAGCATGAAAGGGACTCACTCTACAGTGTTAGTGTCGATAGAGCCGGTGATGGTCAGGCCATAGAATCTCTGCATGGCTGCGATGGCCGTGGTGATGGAGTGAGGGGAGCGGGCAGCATGTGTCCGCAGGTCAACTGGCGGCAGGTAGCCATATTGCTGCAACCACACCTGAAACATGGAAGGAGAAGTTGTACTGTTACAACATGTCTCAAATGGGTGAAGAATTAAAATACTATAAATAAATCAGAATACTGTATGTATAGTATATGGATGCTGCTTCAACATATATTGAATGTCTGCAAATAAGGCAGAGTGCGCTCTGGTGTTGATATACATTTTACAATGACATAAAGAACAAATAAGCTCTCATTTAGGTTTTCATATGTTTTGGCATGCAGGAGAAGCACAATGTCCACAAAAGGGTGCTGGTCATTCCAATGAGTAAGTATAAAAGCATTTAAACATAAACACTACTCTTCAGTGACTGTGTCCAGCCAGCCCAATGAAACTCATCAGTTTCACCAAAGCTGATGTACTGAAACCAAACCAGGACAAAATGGCACCTACAAAGACAGCTCAGATTTCACTCATGCCCTTGTAGGGAAAATCCCAAATCCTGGTAGACAAAAACTGATCAGTGAAACTGAAAACACTCTGTAGGTAAAAGATGAACCTATATGTCCACATTGTACGTTACTAACTATAGTACTCTGGTGGCTATTTCATTGTGTTTGTGCAATCATGGTCTCTATTGGACTACAGCAGTATCGTTTTTGATCAAGACCATGCTCCAAATCTTTGTCATAATTGTTTGAGCAGAGATTTTTATTCCAGTCTGGCCTCTGCATTAAGGATGTCCTACATCCCTAGAGGTCTAGGGTGGCCTCGCTTTTCAGGCTTCTCCTTGTGAGATTACAGTGTCTGGCTGCACTAGAGAAGGTGCCGAATGATTATATATCTGACCTTACTTTCCCCTGGAAGCTCATCAAACTCTGGTGCCTCCCTCCCTCTATCTGGAGCAGAACCAGTGGCTGGGTTCCAAACTTCTCCCACACAGTTTCAGCTCTACCCTTTATCTCCCCCCCAAACAGGAGTTGGAGGAAGTGAAAGCTGATACCTCTCTGATATTCTCTACTGAACGCATCCTGACTTGAACATTGTCAATAAGCTAGCACACAGCCAGGAAGTGTTTTTCACAACTTTAAATACGATTTGTTTGACTGTATGTTTGACCTTCAACTATTTAGTTCTTCACAAAAGTAGGCTAACCTCTTTTGTTGCATTAATGTCAGTCTCCAGTGAAACAGTCAGTCAGTCATTTTACTTGGAATTTCTCTATGATCCCATCCAAACCTCAAAGTCAAAACCTCTCCCCCCTACCCGTCTCTCTGTCCTCTTCTCTCCCCACTCCTCCTCCCTCTCTTTTCTCATATGGAAAACCCAGAGGCCTGAAGGGTAAATAATTGTGAACAACCACACCCAGTGCACACACAGTACATTGTTACTGTAGTGTATGTAACTGCCTGGTAGGTTGCTGTACATGTTCCAGGAACATAAAGAACACAACAACACTTTTAATTAACTAGTAATGATGCCATTTCAGCATTTTCTCTGTATCAACGGTGAATTGTCAGCAGTTTCATTATACCTCAGAGGAGGAAGGGGAGGACCATCCTCCTCAGTGAATTTCATAAAAATAGTGAAACATTAAAAAAGTTATCCTTTTTAGATAAAACTATACTAAATATATTCACGTCACCAAATAATTGATTAAAACACACTGTTTTGCAATGAAGGTCTACAGTTGCCTCAGCAGCACTCTATAGGGTAGCACCATGGTGTAGCCGGAGGACAGCTAACTTCTGTCCTCCTCTGGGTACATTGACTTCAATACAAAACCTAGGAGGCTCATGGTTCTCACCCGCTTCCATAGACTTACACAGTAATTATGACAACTTTCGGAGAACATCCTTCAACCTATCAGAGCTCTTGCAGCATGAACTGACATGTTGTCCACTCAATCAAAGGATAAGAGAATGAATCTAGTACTGGAAGTATAAGTTACAGCTAGCTAGCACTGCAGTGCATAAAATGTGGTGAGTAGCTGACTCAAAGAGCGAGAAAGACAATAGTTGAACAGTTTTGAACCCATTTATTTATTTACAAATGAAGGAGAAGCAAGCGAGAGAGCTAGCTATATTTCATAGTATTTTTTTTCACGAGAGAGAGCTATATTTGGTATATTTTTTTTTGACTTTCACTTAGCTAGCTAGCAAATGGAGCTAGCTAGTTTAGCCTACTCAAACAGATAGGGATGCTATGTTAGCTAGCTGGCAATGACTATCCAACACTGGAACTCTTCCAAATCAAGGTAAGCTCAAATCAAATTGTATTTGTCACATACACGTGTTTAGCAGATGTTATTGTGGGTGTAGCGAAATGCTTGCGTTTTTTTATATATATATTTTTTTTACCCCCTTTATTGTGGTATCCAATTGGTAGTTACAGTCTTGTCCCATCGCTGCAACTCCCGTACGGACTCGGGAGATGCGAAGGTCGAGAGCCGTGTGTCCTCCGAAACACAACCCAACCGAGCCACACTGCTTCTTGACACAATGCTTGCTTAACCCGGAAGCCAGCCGCACCAATGTGTCGGAAGAAACACTGTACACCTGGCGACCGTGTCAGCGTGCACTGCGCCCGGCCCACCACAGGAGTCGTTAGGGACAAGAACATCCCTGCCGGCAAAACCCTCCCCTAACCTGGACGACGTTGGGCCAATTGTGCGCCGCCCCATGGGTCTCCCGGTCGCGGCAGAGCCTGGACTCGAACCAGGATCTCTAGTGGCACAGCTAGCACTGCGATGCAGTGCCTTAGACCATTGTGCCACTCGGGAGGCCCATTGCAGTAATATCTACCAAGTAATATCTAACAATTTCACAACATATACCCAATACACACAAATCTAAGTAAGGAATGGATTAAGAATATATACATATATGGACGAGCAATGACAGAGCGGCATGGACTAAGATACAGTAGAATAGTATAGAATACAGTATATACATATGAGATGAGTAATGCAAGATATGTAAACATAATTAAAGTGACTAGTGTTCCATTTCTTAAAGTGTCTATAGGCAGCAGCCTCTAATGTGCTAGTGATGGCTATTTAACAGTCTGATGGCCTTGAGATAGAAGCTGTTTTTCCAACTCTTGGTCCCAGTTTTGATGCACCAGTACTGACCTCGCCTTCTGGATGATAGTGGGGTGAACAGGCAGTGGCTCGGGTGGTTGATGTCCTTGATGATCTTTTTGGCCTTCCTGTGACATTGGGTGCTGTAGGTGTCCTGGAGGACGGGTAGTTTGCCCCCGGTAATGCGTTGGACAGACCGCACCACCCTCTGGAGAGCCCTGCGGTTGCGGGCGGTGCAGTTGCTGTACCAGGCGGTGATACAGCCCAACAGGATGCTCTCAATTGTGCATCTGTAAAAGTTTGTGAGGGTTTTAGGTGCCAAGCCAAATTTCTTCAGCCTCCTGAGGTTGAAGAGGCTCTGTTGCGCCTTCTTCACCACACTGTCTGTGTGGGTGGACCATTTCAGTTTGTCAGTGATGTGTACGCCAAGGAACTTGAAGCTTTCCACCTTCTCCACTGCGGTCCCGTCGATGTGGATGGGGGGTGCACCCTCTGCTGTTTCCTGAAGTACACGATCATCTCCTTTGTTTTGTTGACGTTGAGTGAGAGGTTATTTTCCTGGCACCACACTCCCAGAGCCCTCACCTCCTCCCTGTAGGCTGTCTTGTCATTGTTGGTAATCAAGCCTACTACTGTTGTGTCAGTCACAGCTTTTGGTTTTATTAATTTATTGCCACCGGGGCCTGCTGGTGTAACTGCTAAACTGCTTATGCAGCTAGCTAGTTTAGCCTACTCAAACACCTGGCTCAAACAGAGAGGGATGCTATGTTAGCTAACTGGCTATAACTATCCAACCCTGGAACTCTTCCAAGTCAAGGTAAGCTTTTGGTTTATTAATTTATTGCCACAGGGGCCCACTGGTGTAACTGCTAAACTGCTTTCTGACTGATGATTGTATCGGGTTTACTAATGCGTTAGTTCTAGTAGTTCTAGTTGACTATGACGTGACAAAGATGTAGGCTGTGTGTAGCGGTCAACGGTCATGATATGAAGGTTTGGCTTGGAAAGGTTTTCTTGTCTGGTCACAGACAGCTGATGTGTTGTGCACTGAAGTCCACAAGCAAAGGGAAAAGGTAAGAGGAGGAGAGCGCATAGATAGTTGTGAGAAGGAATTGTATATACAACGAGCAAAGTGATCATGCTGTTTTTAAGTGGCTGCTATAAAAGTGAACTGTTTGCATGTGATCAGGGGTGTATTCATTCTGCCGATTCTGTTGAAAAATGTTTCTTAAACAGAAGCAAACAGAACAAAACAGGGATAAACATACCTGAATTTCTCATTTGCAACTGTTGGACTAATGATTACACACAAGATCAGCTAGATGCAGGCAAGAGTGTGCAAGGCGGTATTGAATGTGTCACTGTCTGTCATCTTGATTACTCAAAATTCTCTCAACCTGTACTTTCATTCATAGGCTAGGTTGTAGCAACCTCATGATGGGTACAGAGAAATAGATTAATAGAATATGAATGACAGTAATCCAAAATGCTGTAATAGAAATAAGGCCATGCTCATAAAAATATGTATAATCCTCCCTCATCTTAAATGGCACCGACCGCCACTGCATTATACTGTGTGGTGTGTGTGTGTGTGTGGGTGTGTTTTGAAAAAAGTGACTGAGATAGTGACTACATCTGTTAGTCTACTGTGGAGTCTTAGTTGTAACAAAGTAAATGTAGTGATGGGGAATGGGGGTTTATTTTAAGATGCGTGCGTGCTTTGAATGGAGGGTACTAATCTCTCTCGGGGAGACCCTGCTCTCTGTGTTTAGACTTAATCTATGAAATAGGTATTTCATCATGAAAGAGAGAGGGATGGTGAAACATGTTAATAATGGATTATGATAATATAAATATAATGGAGGTGGGAGGACATGTCTTAGAGGAATAGTTTGTTTCAGGACAACATTCAATTCTATGTTTGGTATAAGGCCACAGCTGCTCTTTCTGAGGCCACTATACCTTTCATTCTAGTCTTCTATCTAGGTATTTCATAGTGTATGTTGTTGTTAGACTGCATTTAAAATGGATGTATGAGCGAGAGAGCCATTCAGTAACACTGAACACTTGTTTCAACCATAAGCCCAGTGAGTCCCACTCCTCCCATCCATGGTCCCATTGGTGGGTCCACAAAGAACAGTCTTTAAGTGTTATCCAATAAGGGTATGCTACTTTTAACTGTAGTCGTTTTGATCACTGAAGCCTAGAGAGTGAGTGGGCAGTGGGCAGTTATAGTAGTCACTTTATTTGCTTTAGTTGAGTGAATCAGACCTAGTATATAGACGTTTTACATTAACAAAGTAACAAATTAATTGGCCTATGGTTTTTAGAGGTAAGGATATGACTTCGCTGACCTTAAAAATACATTGCAAATGAGAGTTCAAAGGATGTGTGTGTGTGTGTGTGTGTGTGTGTGTGTGTGTGTGTGTGTGTGTGTGTGTGTACTCGCGCCCCTGCATAGATGAGAAAGCGAGAAAGATGACTGAATTAAATTTCTAAGAAGAAAATAAACTGAGTCAGTTGTTCCTTTGCTCTGGGCAAATGAAAATAAAACTTTGGTCAACAGTGATGGAGTCCAAAAGAGCCTTACAGGAAATTTGGCTCGGTTCTCCAGATTACTGATCCACTTAGTATGTCACAATGACTACCAACAAACACAACAACAGAGCATGACAAAGAAGCCTCAAAGCTCATAGCTCATAGCTAGATACACAATATACTAACACAATGATCTGGCCCATACAAGGCACTTGGCTTAGGAGCCACAGCACACAGTATTACAAATCACAACACACATATACACTACATGGCCAAAAATATGTGGACACCCCTTCAAATTGGTGGATTTGGCTATTTCAGCCACACCCATTGCTGACAGGTGTATAAAATCGAGCTCGCCGCCATGCAATCTCCATAGACAAACATTGGCAGTAGAATGGTATTGCTGAAGAGCTCAGTGAATTTCAACATGGCACCGTCATAGGATGCCACCTTTCCAACAAATCAGTTCGTCAAATTTCTGCCTTGCTAGAGCTGCCACGGTCAACTGTAAGTGCTGTTATTGTGAAGTGGAAACATCTAGGAGCAACAACGGCTCAGCTGCGAAGTGGTAGGCCACACAAACTCACAGAATGAGACCGCCAAGTGCTGAAGTGCGTAGCCAAGTGCTGAAGTGCGCAATGACATGCGTCGGCTGGAGTGGTGTAAAGCTCGCCGCCATTGGACTCTGGAGCAGTGGAAACGCGTTCCCTGGAGTGATGAATGATGCTTCACCGTCTGGCAATCCGACAGACGAATCTGGGTTTGGCGGATGCTAGGAGAACGCTACCTGCCCCAACTGTAATGTTTGGTGGAGGAGGAATAATGGTCTGGGGCTGTTTTTCATGGTTCGGGCTAGGCCCCTTATTTCCAGTGATGGCAAATCTTAATGCTAGAGCATACAATGATATTCTAGACGATTCTGTGCTTCCAACTTTGTGGCAACAGTTTGGGGAAGGCCCTTTCCTGTTTCGGCATGACAATGCCCCCGTCCACAAAGCGAGGTTCATACAGAAATGTTTTGTCGAGATCGGTGTGGAAGAACTTGACTGCCCTGCACAGAGCCCTGACCTCAACCCCATCAATCACCTTTGGGATGAATTGGAACGCTGACTGTGAGCCAGGCCTAATCGCCCAACATCAGTGCCCGACCTCACTAATGCGCTTGTGGCTGAATGGAAGAAATTCCCCACAGCAATGTTCCAACCTCTAATGGAAAGCCCTCCCAGAAGAGTGGAGGCTGTTATAGCAGCAAAAGGGGGACCAACTCCATATGAATGCCCATGATTTTGTAATGAGATGTTCATACTTTTGGTAATGTAGTGTATATCATAAGAGTCAATAGACATGTGTCTGGGTGGTGTTGCAACATTATCGTCATAAATCTTCTATGTTACTGATAAGCCTCCCTGACCTCTGACTCTCCTCTACATGCACATAGTGTGTATGGGATTACAGCTTTTGTCTATGCAAACAGTCCTCTAGCCAACATCAACAAGACTGAGCAAAAGAAGCAGCTCAGTTGGTACAGCACGGCACTTGTAACGCCAGGGTAGTGGGTTCAATTCCCACGACCACTAAAATGTATGCTTGACTAACTGTGAGTTGCTTAGGATAAAAGTGTTTGCTAAATGGTATATATTCTTATTATATACTGTATATATAAAAAGTAAAAAAAATTAAACATCCCACTGAGCATTAGCCAATTTGTCTGCATATCTTAATAACAGCGCAAAAACAAGAAGATGGTCAGTCTAATATACTTCACTATGTTAACATTACCTACAATTGGGGCCAGAGTTATCTTTTCTGACCAGATGACATGATGTGAGTATGATAAAGTTATAACTAAGACAATGAGTATTTCCTGGTCAGGTTGTGTGGTCAGGAAATTGGAATGTAGCCTCGTTGCCATGTTAGAACCCAGCAGTGCTGCTTGCGGATGTGTAGCCTACTACATGTTTGTGGCCTATGAGTAACATCCTGTCACACTGTGTATAGCCTAATTGCATCATTCATAAACCTAAACCCTCTTGTTCCCAAATTGCATCATCACAATGACTTATTTTCGGTTCCTCTTCATGTGGGTAGTACCGTTTTCTCTCTCTCCTTCCTGTCGCATTACGTCATCTCCCACTCATTCCCATTTCCTTGAGACTGGTTCCCTCTTTGTACTGACTAACACTCCCCCCTTCCTCCCCCATCTCTGTGTCAGTCACTGTGTGTGTTGTCATGGTCACACTGCAGTGAGACTAATAGAATGTGTTTTAAAGCAAAGAGGAAATCCCCTGCCCACTTCCTCTCTCTCCCTGTGCCCACAATATATGACACACCTGCCTACCTTCATGACTGGTACTATGGTCTTTACACAGCTGCTTTGAGCCCAGTCTAACTGACTATTATACAGAACTGCTGATCTCGATGTACTGTTAATTTAGGGTATTATCACTCTCTCAATACCTAATGTGTAAGCTAGTGAGTGTTCTGGTGCAAAATGATGGCCAAGCATTACTCCTGTAAGAGTCTGTTCGAGGGACTCATTTTACCATTAGTGTTATATGTGTTTTGTTGGTGAGTCACCCCAAAGCAATGTAAAGGAGAAGCAGCAAAAGGTGGTCTGTCTAAATGACTAACTCTAATGTTATCAGTGCTTCAGTTCCCTCTGAGAGACCTAGTAGCCTGCTTTCTGCTAAATTGACAGTCTAATCTAGGTCAATGTAGTTAAATTATTCTTTCCATTTGCACAGCTGGAAATACAATCCAGGTGCCTACAGTACGCTAACATTACAGTTCAGACGCCAGCAGTCAGATTGAAAACATCAAAAGGGCAGTGATGAAGTAAGAACTTCTTGGGACATGATCTAGCTGACTGCATTGTCTTAAATGGCAGATGTCTGTCAGTAGAGGGTGGGGTGCGTAGGGGTTTAACATCATGGTGACTTCCTGTAGTCGAAACAGGCGAGTCCTCCTCCACTGCTGACCACCAGACTATCATATCCTCAGAGGCAGCCCTTCTCTCTGTAAAACTCCCATCCCCCAGTTCAACCCTAACTCAGGACAGATGTCAACAATTATATCTCTGCATCTCTTTGAACTTGGATTCTATACCACAACTATACCGCAACTCTAAATCCCCTCTCCTTTCAGAAAGTGCCTCTGTACCTGACCACAATACAGAGGCCATAAAATTTCTCCCCATTTGCCTTCTTCTTCTCTTATTTTTTTCTCATCTTATATTATTTTGGCGTCTCAGCATTTCTAAGTGTTGTCATGTAAGCCATCATCATTGTGGTCTGCTTCCTTTAGCTGAGGTCTGATCCATTCCACATCGCCCCAGTCTTACTGTAGTCTTGGATATCCTCGACCGCACTGAAAGATTGCGGAAGTAAGCCATCTTTTAAAATATATATTATTATTTTTATTAAGGTTTTGACATTGTACAATCGTGAAAGGGATGTTATTATATTCAGATGTATCTCCTTGCCTACCATCTTTATACATAGGTGGCTGGTGTTTGTGGGATAAGAGGTGTAACAATAAACATGTCAGACAAGTAATTCCCAAATAATTCATCCCAGAACAGTTCAAATGTAATTATATTTGTCAAATGTTTGATGTATCTGAACCCAAGAAAATAAGAACAAAATATTTGTCTTTACCTATACCACCCAAGACTAAAGAGAACCATTTTAATATTCTAAATGATATTTATCTGTACATTTTTAAGGTTGAAATTCAATGTAGAGCGTAATGACATTGGAAGTAAGCTGTCCCGCTAGGTTCTGAATATATATGGAATACAACTACGATCGGAAGTGACTTTTTCGTAACAGGTGAGGAGAACTTAGGTAGCAGGTTACGATAATTAAAGTAGCCGGTTAGGAGAATTAGGTTAAGGTTAGGAAAAGGGTTAAAGTTAGCTAAAATACTCTCCTAACCTACTACGAAAAGTCACTTCCGGTCGTAGCTGTACTCCATCTAGTCACAAGCCTAGTTTTACTGACAGTCTGACATCCCAGACTTGGGAAATTATTTCAACTTTTTTAACAGGAGGGCCTATTGCTTTATAACAGTTTAAATCATTATAATGCAAAAAAAATAAATAATGATAATGCATATTTTTTGCATACATTTTAATAATAATAATAAGATATGCCATTTAGCAGAAGCTTCTGTCCAAAGCGACAGTCATGCATGCATACATTTTCAATAAGCCAACATCTCCCGTTATGATATTTGTTCTTTGACTTTGACCACTCACCTCAGGTTTTACATCTTGTGGCGCCGCTCCTTGTGCGCTCTGGTCCCATGCCAACACGAGAAACAGCAGTTGGGCAAACGCCTCTATCCAGAGTGCCATTCCTTGACCACGACACGTTCAAAAAGGCCCTGTTTTCCCCTCTATGACTTTTGCTTGATTCTTCAAGAAGCTATTTGTCAAAACATTATATGGAAAAATGCCTTCAACAAATTTCAAGAGACAACTAGACTACACCTAAAGGAAAAATGCTTCCAAATGCTAAATAAAGTGTCAAAAATATTATTATCACTTGCATCCTAGGTCGAAAATGTACATCTTCAACACAGTTAGCTTCTAATGAAAAAACAGATTTATTTATCAACATAAACTGAGGATTAACTTGATTAAAGTAAGAAGTGCGTCAATTATTTGGCATCCGACGTTTTAACGGCTCAGTTTCCACTCTAACTATAATCGACTACCTTGTTTCTCTTTGTCCGCAGTCCTCACCGTTTTATCTATTTCTTTGTATCTTCCCCTAACTTTTCCATGTGTCGGGATATTTTGATTCCTCTCTCTTCACCCTCTCTCACACAGCTGCAGACGTGGTAGTTTGAGAGTCCCTCTAGAGGCCTTTGCTGGAAAATACTAAAACCTCCCATTTCAACATTGGCCTTTCCCTTCTACTTTCTCATTAAGGGGTATGGTCAATTTAGCTGATTACCTTGGCAGAGATGTTTGGCTGTTTATTAGTGGGGGAAATGGTGCCCAGTCAGCCTCTGCAGGCCAGTGGCGGTCAGTGACGTTTAAGATGAGGGAGGACGATTGTATTTTTTTATGAGCATGGCCTTATTTATATTACAGCTTATTGGATGACTTTCATTCATATTCCATTCATCCAGCTCAATGTAACATCAATAGGTTTAGGCTACTATATGACACTCAAATTTTCCCTATACCCATCATGAGGTTGCTACAACCTAGCCTATAAATTAAAGTTTACAACGTAGGTGCACAGGTACAGAGGAAAATTAGATGACAGACAGTGACACATTCAATACCACCTTGCAATCTCTTGCCTGCATCTATCTGATCTAATAATAATATGCCATTTAGCAGACGCTTTTATCCAAAGCGACTTACAGTCATGCGTGCATACATTTTTGTGTATGGGTGGTCCCGGGGATCGAACCCACTACCCTGGCATTACAAGCGCCGTGCTCTACCAGCTGAGCTACAGAGGACCACTAAGGTGTAATCATTAGTCCAACAGTTGCAAACGAGAGTTTCTATTGGACAAATTCAGGTATGTTTATCCCCGTTTCGTTCTGTTTGCTTCTGTTTAAGAAATATTTTTCAACCGAATCGGCAGAATGAATACACCCCTGATCACACGCAAACACAGTTCACTTTCATGGCAGCCACATACCAACAGCATGATCATTTTGCTCCTTGTATAAATCATGGGCACCACTTTGGGTTTAGAATTGCATTTATATACAATCCAACATGCCGTCTCTATTTAGAACTAAAAGTAAGCAAAAATCACAGTCATCAAGCTAGGTAAGAGATCATTATTAAATATGTTTAAGTGATTAATAAGACTGAACTAGATCAAAGGTAATTCAATAATACATATTGTGTTGCACCTTTAACCAATAGCCTAACAAATGAACAACTCTTCAAAAAATACAGACTTTTGATTGTCTTTATTAAAACATCATCTATATCAAATTTCAGCCAGACCGACCAGCCAGCCCGAGCCGCCTGCACACCCGACCCCCACCAGTCTAGTCAGTAATTCACCTCTCTCCCAACACAATTTCCTTCCCAGTTCACACCTTTCAACTTAGTTAATTCCCAAGTGAAAGGTTTGGAAACCCAAAAAAAATGAGCTGTGCCAAGAGAGTGCAAAGCTGTCATCAAGGCAAAGGGTAGCTACTTTGAAGAATCTCAAATATAAAAATGTATTTTGATTTGTTTAACACTTTTTTGGTTGCTACATGATTCCATATGTGTTATTTCATAGTTTTGATGTCTTCACTATTTTTCTACAATGTAGAAAATAGTGAAAATAAAGAAAAACCCTGGAATGAGTAGGTGTGTCCACACTTTTGACTGGTACTGTACATTCACACAGAAACAGCAAATCCTCAATATAATTATTCTCATAGGACTAATAGTACTGTAGAGTTATTTTTACTTGCACACAATATAGCTGGGTCGCCCCGTCCTGTCCCTAGGGGTCCACACCCTGCAGCGCCCCTACCCAACGCACCCCACTCAGCTTTAGGAGCTTAGTGAAACATTAATTATTGGTTTCGGATGTGTTAGGCCAAGGCCAGAGTGACAACCCACAGGACGGCAGACCCCCAGAACCTGCACTGAGCAGCGCAGCAGCTAGGGATTGCCTAAATAGGTATCTCCCCTGACGTGGGCATGTTTTCAATACAGACTATAAGGCATCCAAACCTTATGAAAGTTGCCCAGTATACCATTAATCTTGTAATAAATCAAATCTAGTGATACATAACTTGACATTGTGGGAGGATAACTAACCTTCCAATTAATGGAAATGCATTTCTTAGCCGCTATAAATGCTTGGTTACACCGTTTCTTCAGATAACAGTCTCCAGTATCAACATTTCCAAGCAAACAAAAACAGGGAGAAGGGAGAATCTGTAGACATGCTGAGATAAAATAACATACTCTTAGCCAGAATTCAGCCAGCCTCACAAGACCATAACATATGCAAATATGTCCCCTTTTGTGTTTTACACCTCCAGCAGAGGAATGACTTTTCTGAGTGCATGTAATTCAGTTTCACTGGCATATACACTACCAGTCAAATGTTTTAGAACACCTACTTATTCAAGGGTTTTTCTTTATTTGTACTATTTTCTACATTGTAGAATAATAGTGAAGACATCAAAACTATGAAATAACACATATGGAATCATGTAGTACCCAAAAAAGTGTTCAACAAATCAAAATATATTTTATATTTGAGATTCTTCAAATAGCCACCCTTTGCCTTGATGACAGCTTTGCACACTCTTGGCATTCTCTCAACCAGCTTCACCTGGAATGCTTTTCCAACAGTCTTGAAGGAGTTCCCACATATGCTGAGCACTTGTTGGCTGCTTTTCCTTCACACTGCGGTCCGACTTATCCCAAACCATCTCAATTTGGTTGAGGTCGGGGGATTGTGGAGGCCAGGTCATCTGATGCAGCACTCCATCACTCTCCTTCTTGGTAAAATAGCCCTTACACAGCCTGGAGGTGTGTTGGGTCATTGTCCTGTTGAAAAACAAATGATAGCAAAGCACCCCCACACCATAACACCTCCTCCTCCATAATTTACGGTGGGAAATACACATGCAGAGATCATCCGTTCACCCACACCGGGTCTCACAAAGTCATGACGGTTGGAACCAAAAATCTCCAATTTGGACTTCAGACCAAAGGACACATTTCCACCGGTCTAATGTCCATTGCTGTTACTTGAACTCTGTGAAGCATTTATTTGGGCTGCAATTTCTGAGGCTGGTAACTCTAATGAACTTATCCTCTGCAGCAGAGGTAACTCTGGGTCTTCCATTCCTGTGGTGGTCCTCATGAGAGCCAGTTTCATCATAGCGCTTGATGGTTTTTGCAACTGCACTTAAAGAAACTTTCAAAGTTCTTGAAATGTTCCGTATTGACTGACCTTCATGTCTTAAAGTAATGATGGACTGTTGTTTCTCTTTGCTTATTTGAGCTGTTCTTGCCATAATATGGACTTGGTCTTTTACCAAATAGGGCTATCTTCTGTATACCCCCCCTACCTTGTCACAACACAACTGATTGGCTCAAACGCATTAAGAAGGAAAGAAATTCCACAAATTATCTTTTAACATGGCACGCCTTTTAGTTGAAATGCATTCCAGGTGACTACCTCATGAAGCTGGTTGAGAGAATGTAAAGCTGTCATCAAGGCAAATTGTTTTTATTTGAGGAATCTCAAATATAAAATATATTTTGATTTGTTGAACACTTTTGTGGTTACTACATGATTCCATATGTATTATTTCATAGTTTTGATATCTTCACTATTATTCTACAATGTAGAAAATAGTAAAAATAAAGAAAAACCCTTGAATGAGTAGGTGTGTCCAAACCTTTAACTGGTAGCGTATGTTGCGTGGATTAATGAGGGCTGGAAATAAAAAAATTCAACAATGTGTGGCGCTTATAAACTCAGCAAAAAAAGAAACATCCCTTTTTCAGGACCCTGTCTTTCAAAGATAATTCGTAAAAATCCAAATAACTTCACAGATCTTCATTGTAAAGGGTTTAAACACCGTTTCCCATGCTTGTTCAATTAACCATAAACAATTAATGAACATGCACCTGTGGAACGGTCGTTAAGACACTAACTGCTTACAGACGGTAGGCAATTAAGGTCACATTTATGAAAACTTAGGACACTAAAGAGGCCTTTCTACTGACTCTGAAAAACACCAAAAGAAAGATGCCCAAGGTCCCTGCTCATCTGCGTGAACGTGCCTTAGGCATGCTGCAAGGAGGCATGAGGACTGCAGATGTCCGTACTGTGAGACGCCTAAGACAGCGCTACAGGGAGACAGGACAGACAGCTGATTGTCCTCGCAGTGGCATCGGAACATCAGTACATCCGAACATCACACCTGCGGGACAGATATAGGATGGAAACAACTGCCCGAGTTACACCAGGAACGCACAATCCCTCCATCAGTGCTCGAACTGTCTGCAATAGGCTGAGAAAGGCTTGACTGAGGGCTTGTAGGCCTGTTGTAAGGCAGGTCCTCACCAGATATCACCGGGAACAACGTCACCTATGGGCACAAACCCACCGTTGCTGGACAAGACAGGACTGGCAAAAAGTGCTCTTCACTGACTTGTTCTGTGCTTGATATCCTACAAGACAGGAATGTCAGTGTTCTGCCATGACCAGCGAAGAGCCCGAATCTCAATCCCATTGAGCACGTCTGAGACCTGTTGGATCGGAGGGTGAGGGCTTGGGCCATTCCCCCCCAGAAATGTCTGGGAACTTGCAGGTGCTTGGTGGAAGAGTGCCGTAACATCTCACAGCAAGAACT